AAAAAAAAAAAAAAAAAATTGGAGATTAGACTTTTTACTTCTTACATCTAAGATTCATCGAGGCTCTTCTGAAAAAACACTTATGCGCATAGGGTAACTAATGGCACATAGGTTGTTTTTAAACCGGGCAGGAATGTATAGTTCCTAATTGCAAAATGCAGTCCAATTAATAGCTGTTCAATTCATTTTAATTTAATTTGTTACAGAACAATGAAGTGGGTCCGAGCTTCAAACGAGTCGCAAACGTCGCTGATATCGTTCAATCAATGTCGCAACAGTTGACACACTTAGTGGAGTGGGCAAAAAGCATAGAAGTTTTCAGCAATCTCGATTTTGACGATCAGGTAATATCATATACCATAGTGTGCGCTCTAAAATTCGCTTGCTATGAGGAAAAAATGGAGTAATATTCTCCAAAAATTTCCCCTACTCCTTTATCATATCGACACACAACTGGTCAGAAATTAAACAATTTATCTCAGAAATGTAAATACTTATTTTGCAGGACACCCAGTGAGAGAATGGCAATAGGGGGTTTTAAATGCAATGAGGATGTGCGAACTATCATTGGGGCTGTGGAAAGATAGGGCACCGTAGCGGTTCGGTGTCGCAGAGCGCCAGAGAGCACAGTGAAAGCTGCACTTGTGTATCTTAGAAGGGCCTCATGCGTCCAGCACATTTAATTTATCACAACTTCGAGAATTCTTAAAGGTTTGGCGCCTATGCCCTTTTAAAATTAAACGGTTTATATATCTGGGCCTACACTGCCGTGCTAAGGAAGAACGCCGTATGAGCCTTCAGGCGTTGCCATATTTTCTTTTAGTAACCACCAAATTTACTGGGAAAATTCTGAATATTTTTCTTCCAATTCTTCAGAAAATTTTGTTCCCAATTCAATCTAAAATATTGGATAATGTTAAGGAAAAATACGCATAACTTTCTTCAAAAATACGTGTTTTATCCGGGGAAATTTAGCAACTTTCTAATGTTCATACGGCGTTCTTTCTTAGCACGGCAGCACAAGTGTTATCGATGATTATGTCGTTTTTATGCCTATTTATCGAATATTGAATACCCCTTGATTTCAGATTAACCAAAAATGTAAGGTAAAATGTGTTTTCAAATGTTTCAGGTGGCACTCTTAAGAGCTTTCGCAAGTAAACATTTGCTCCTAACAGTGGCTAGGAGGTCACAAGATCTGAACGACTGCTTGATCCTTGGAAACGATTGTGTCATTACAAGAAATGTTTCAGGTGAGAATTAATATTTTAACATAATCTCCTTTTTGAAACATATAAATCATTAATGGCAAATTAGAAAAACACTTCCATCTTGCTTTTTAGAAGAGAATCGATCACTCTTAAAGCCTAAAACTCAAAAAAAACCCAAAAAATGATGTATTGATGATTTATTATTGCTGAGGCATATAGATGCATCGTGAATCACAGTGATGAGTAGAAGAGAAATAGATTTTTTTTTCTTTTTCATAACGAACAAAATTTGATTTTCATGGGAGCAAATTCTGAAATGCGATCATTCATTCCCGAAAATCCTCATGCATCAATTCGTTGTTTTTTCTTTTTTGGGTTAAAGACTACAGTTTCTTAAATGACTTCAACCCGAATTTAAATTGCCTTCTTTTAATACATTCATTTTTTTGACCTCTGAAATTTAGGATAGGTCGATATAAATAGTTTTGTACTGTTCCTTTCTTATTTTTATCTTTGATGCTCGTGTTCTCTTGAGATTGAATGAATCAATTAGTATATTCTGTTTGAAGAGAGAAAAGAAACTAACTACATTGCTGCACATGTATATTTCTAGAATCTCTTTTACGTGGAGGGGGGGGGGACAAACAAAAAACGGTGTTTAGTGATTTACTTGGAATACAAAGTACTTATATACCGGGAGATTTAATACGTCGCAGATTAGTGTTGTTGTAACTTATTTTCCTAGTAAAGT